GAGTGGGCTGGGGTTGTGGCTCAGCTTGCCTGGCACACATGAGGCACTGGGTTTGATCCTCAGCACCACAAATAAATAAATAGATAGATAGAATTATGTCCATCTACAACAAATTTTTTTAAATTAAAAAATTAATATAACACCTGTGAAATAAATCCTGTCATCTGTATGTTATGAGTGAAAACTGAGACCCAGAGTGCTGAGTATGTTGTTAAAAATCACAGTTTAGTAAGTTAGCCAAGCTGGAGTTTTAAACTGGCTTTCTAGAATCTAAGCTTTCACTACTGTGCTATTCTTCTTGCAGAATAAGTAACTGATCATGCTGTTCTCACTCAAACATCTTAGCTTATTGCAAACACAACTGGGGTAACTTATATTCAGTCTCCTCTGTGAACTGACCCCATCTTTCTTATTTCCTTTTGTTTGTTCTATGCCAAACTGAATTCTTCTGTTATATAATTATTCATATACCTCTCAGTATTTTTTTTTCTTTTTTGGTACTGGGGATTGAACCCAGGGTGCTTTATCACTAAGCTATGTCCTCAGCCCTTTTTATCTTTTATTTTGATGCAGGTTCTCCTTAAGTTGCTTAGGGCTCCCCTGAGTGGTCGGAGCCTGACCCTGAACTTGTGATCCTCCTGAGTCAGCCTCCTGAGTCACTGGGATTAGAGGCATGTGCCACTATGTTCAGCCTTCCCAGTAATTTTTATCATTATAATTATCATCATCATCATCATTATTTTCCCTATTTATGTAAGACCAGTTCTCGTGCCTTGTTTTCCATTAAGTTACCTGTACTTATCTCCCCCTCATAGCATGTTCATAGCATGTTTTCTGAACTGTTCTGATGGCACCACTTAACGTTTTTTTTTTTGTCTCCAGGTCTTGAAAAGTACATGCTTTCAAATATTTTTTCTCTATTAGGCTTTTCTTCAAGAGTATTTGTTGAGTAAATTAAGAGTAATGAGTAAATGTTACTCGGACTATTAAACACAAGATATTTGTATGTGCGGCTTTTTAGTGTAGTATTCCTCATTTCCGTATGGTTCAATAGTTCATTACATTAATGCATTTTATATATATATATATATATATATATATATATATATATATATATATATATATATATGGAGAGAGAGAGAGAGAGAGAGAGGAAGAACTGATGAAAATGTTTAGGATCTGAGGCTTTTTTTTTTAAAGCAGTTTGTAAGGCTGGCTTAAGGTATTTCAATTTGAGACATTTCAATGATTTTCACATAATAAAATTTCTAATAGTGTTTTTTTGTGGGGGCAGTACTAGGGATTGAGTCACATCTCCAGCCCAATTTTGTATTTTATTTAGACTGGGTCTCACTGAGTTGCTTAGTGCCTCATGGTTGCTGAGGCTGGCTTTGAACTCTGGATCCTCCCGTGCTGCTAGGATTACAGGAGTGAGCTACCATGCCCGGCTCTAATAAAGATTTTTATTTGTTTATTTTTTTTAAATCTCCCTGATGGTGTTTTGAAATTGGGAAAATGTGGGAAATACAAGTAGTGGTTTTCGGTGAAATAACTTCTTGGAACAGTACCTACAATTTAAATTTTTGTTTATATTTTAGAGGATTGAGTTAAACTTCTGTATTTTCTGTTACCTTGTTGATGCTTAAGGTGTTTTAAAAATGAGATGCGGGCTGGGGGTATAGCTTAGTTGGTAGAATGCTTGCCTTTCATGAATAAGGCCCTGGGTTCAATCCCCAGCACCACCAAAAAAAAAAAAAAAAAAAAAAGAGAGAGAGAGAGAAAGAAAGAAAGAAAAAGAAATGGCAAGGGTTAAGAGGTTTTATTTTAATTGGGGGAGAAATGGGCACATGTTTGAATAAATAGGGTTTAAAAGTAATGCCTCGTGTCACACACCTATAATCTCAACAATCTGGGAGACTGAGACATGAGGATCACAAATTTGAGTCCAGTTTCAGCAATTGAGCAATGCCCTAAGCAACGTTATGAGACCCTGTCTCAAAATAAAAAGGGTTGGGTATATAGCTCAGTGGTAAACTGCCCCTTAGATACTAAGTAACCACCCTCCACACACCAGAAGTAATGAATGAATGTGGAGTCAAAAGAATCAAGTTACAGTATTCCTAAAGAACAATATTACTTATATAAAATTTTAAGACTTGCAAAGCAACACTATACCTTGTTAAAGAATATATACCCTTAGAGTGGAAATGTGCAAGAGAGCTGTAAACACCAAGTTCAAGATCATGGTTATCTTTAGAGGCAAGGAAGATGGGGGGACAGACTGAGGGAGAGATGCCAAGGAGTATCTACTGTGCTTGTGATATTTAGTTTATTTATTAATTTTTTTAATATTTAATTTTTAGTTGTAGTTGGACACAATATCTTTATTTTATTTATTTTTATGTGGTGCTGAAGATCGAATCCAGGGCCTCGCACGTGCTAGGCATGCGCTATACCGCTGAGCCACAACCCCGGTGCCCCCGTGATGTTTATTTTGTGTGTTTTGCAGTAGGTGGGTAGTTTTTTTCCCTCTGTATCTACTTGTCCATCTGAAATATATTATTTTAAGTTCAGATCTTATAGTTCCCTATCCATCCTTGACTTCCCCTACTCCTTAGTTTCTCTCCCAGAAGTAAACATTTTACTAGTTTATTGGAATCTTCCCAGAGATGTGTAGTAGACATGTATAAAAGAAAAAAATATTAAATCCTCTTACAGATAAAAAGCTGAATCAATACGGAGTTAAGTAAGTCATTTACACAAGGCCATAATGCTAGTAAGTGTCAGAGGATTCAAACCCAATCTCTAGAGCTCAAATTTCTGGAGTCCAAACTTGTGTATAAATAAATCTTTCTCCCACTTTTCCAAATAACCAGCAGCTGGTGAGGCTAAGGCAGGAGGATCACTAGTTCAAAGCAAGCTTCAGCAACAGCAAGGTGCGAAGCAACTCAATGAGACCCTGTCTCTAAATAAAATACAAAAAAGGGCTGGGGATGTGGCTCCGTGGTTGAGTGCCCCTGAGTTCAACCCCTTGTACCCCTCCCCACAAAAATAAATAAAATTACCATCCATTCCTTTTATACAAATAGTCTTCTGTATACATTTTACACTATGCTAGATTTTATTTTACTAATAAGAATAAGCATTAATTTTGCTGTATCACATCTGCTTAGCCAGCAAAAAATTCGATTTTCTCTCTGATTCCTCTTTCAGAATACTCCCAAGGCTTCATAGGGGTGTTTTTATGTGCGATCCTTGTGTTTTCTTGGCTCTTCGAGTTTGTAAGTCATATTCACTCTGGAAGGTGGGGAGGAAGGAAATTTGGACTCTAGAGTTTGGGTTTGAATCTTCTGCTCTGCCATTTACTAGCAGTATGACCTTGGATAAGTGATTCAAGTCTGTTGATTTTTTTTTTTTAATCTGTAGGAGGCATTTAGTATTATTTCTTTTAGAGTTATATTAATAATTAAATGAGTGGAAGGTGCCTAACACATAGAAAGCATGGTAAAATATCAGCTATTTTTATTATATTATTGATTATCAGCTGTCTACTGCTCAAACTATTGCCAGTCCCCAGACAGCTAATCCAGACCTCCACCATTGACCTCCTTTGACCTTGATCTATCTGGCTAGTGAGGAAACTTCATTCTCTTTTTCAGGATCTGCTCTTTCAAAGGGTGTTCTCTCAGTCACCTGGTGATGCCCTTTATAAGTACCAGAACACTTTGCACAGCTAGAACAGAGAGGGTGGTGAAGAATATCCTTCCACGTGCCTAGAATGATGGCACTCCTGAATATCCTTATGCTCACAGTAGGCCTCTTGGCCAAAATTTTTCTTACAATTTCTTCCTTATGTAGGACTTTGTCCCTTGAGACTCATTTGTCTTATCCTGCCTTTCTTTTCTTCTTCTTCCTCCTCCTCCTTCTTCCTCCTCCTCCTTCTTCCTCCTTCTTCTCTTCCTCCTCCTTCTTCTCCTCTTTACCACTGAGTTACATCCCCAGCCCTTTTATTTTTTTTAGTTATAGATGGACACAATACCTTTATTTATTTATTTTTATGTGGTGCTGAGGATCGAATCCAGTGCCTCACACATGCCAGACAAGTGTGCTATCACTGAGCCACAACCCCAGCCCCACTAACCCTTCTTTTGACATGGGTTTTGCTAAGTTTCTTAGTGCCTAAGTTCCTGAGGTAGACCGAAAACTTGCCATCCTCCTGCCTCAGCCATCTGAATTTCTGGAATTATAGGCATGAGCTTCTGTACCTGACATCCATCCCTGCCTTTTTTTTACCTTCAGGCATATATGCTTATCTGTTGGGAGTCCAGTTGGGAAGAGATCAGGAGTTAGTTTCTTTCTCATGGGGCTCCTGGGCTCCCATGTAAAACAGAGGATGTGGCCTGACATCTTTAAGGGCTCCTAAACTTAGTGTTACTGATCATTCCCCACAAACATTTTAGATTAGTTGGGCAGCTATGTCCCCTGAGTGCCAGAGGATCCATAAGGAACAATGGCAGCTCTACCCCAGACAGTATTCCTTATGTTATTCACATTTATAGCTACATTTGAATAGCAGTATCTATTGCAACATGATTTTCATGTAAGTTAGCTCATTTAACTCTGAGGCAGGGATAAGTATCTCATTTCCATTTTTCCTTTGAGGAAACTGAGCATTAGAAACATTATGGTTGCATAGATAGAAAAGAACAGAACTTCCTTTTGCTCATGCGTCATTCATATCAAGCTACCGTCTTACAAGGTGATCAAGGGCCTTGTTTACTGTTCAACAGAGTTTATATCAGTTATCATAATGGAGGAAATTAATATTAGCAAGGTTTGGGGTGAAATTAACAGGATTGGAAATCTATGATTTCATTTATATTTAGGTATCCTTGCTGCTCTGTAGGTTTGTGTCAACTGTAAACAGTTTTTATAACATATGTACACACACACACACACACACATACAAACATATATTTTTATATTGCTCTTTTTCTCAGAGCCACAATGGATACTGCTAGCCATAGCCTTGTCCTTCTGCAGCAGCTGAACATGCAGCGAGAATTTGGTTTTCTATGTGATTGCACAGTTGCTATTGGAGATGTTTACTTCAAAGCCCATAGAGCAGTGCTTGCTGCTTTTTCTAACTATTTCAAGATGATATTTATTCACCAAACAAGGTAAGGATGTGTTTTTGTATATTAGAAGAAGATTATGTATATTTCTCACATTACAATATTGAAAAAAGTATATCTTATACTATCATTTTGTGTGCTATCATTATAGTGAGACCCCCTTTTTCTTGGTACTGGATCATCATGTATTATCTATCATTTTATCAGTATACTATCGTTATACTCAATTATACATTTTTTTCTAAATGTTCATTCATTCAAATATATTAAGCAATTTTATAATTGTCTTATATATCAGTAATTAAACTCAATATGTAATAGATCTGTGGTGGAAGGTTAGAATGAAATTATAACTTAAATGTATTGAAGGCTTATCCTATATTGAAGTGCTAAATCTTATAACATAATTCTACAGTTACCCCTATATTAGAGAAAAAAAACAAACTGAGTTGGTAAGATCGAGTTGCTCAGCCAGGATTATATAGCTAATATGTTAGACTCAGGTGCATATCTATCTGAAACTAAAGGTCTATGCTCTCTTTTTTTAAAATATTTTTAGTTATAGACGGATATAATAACTTATTTAACTTATTTTTTTATGTGGTGCTGAGGATCGAACCCAGTGCCTCACATGTGCTAGGCAAGCACTGTACCACTGAGCCGTAAGCCCTGCTCAGGTCTTTGCTCTTAATCATTAAGTTGTTGATTTCTATTTTATGATACTTTCATAGCAAGATTTTGGTGTCATAATTCTACCTACCATGAACTCCATATTACAATTCAAAGGTCTTTTGTTTAAAATATTTTTTCAAAGACTTCCTTTGTGTTTTTTGAATTTATATACAAGACAAATTTAGATATTCAGATTACGGGATTGAGGGATACTGGGGATTGAACCCAGAAGTGCTTTACCACTAAGCCTCATCCTAGTGGTTTTTTATTTATTTTTTTGAGAAGTGGTCTCATCAAATTGCTTAGGGCCTTGATAAATGCTGAGACTGGCCTCAAACTTGCATCACCTTGCCTCACCCTTCCAAGTCACTGGGATTACAGGCGTGCACCACTGCACCCAATTTAGATATTCAAATTTGAAGCTCTGAATAGAGAGTAATTTTAGTCCATTCTAGATTAAAAGTGATTCAGCAGTCTGTTTTTCTTTAAAGAACCTTACATGAATACTTAGGAATCCAACCTCAATTATACATTTGTATCCAAATGTTCATTCATTCAAATATATATTCATTATTTGTTGATGTGTTGGCACAGGCCTATAATCTCAATGACTCAAGAGACTGAGGTAGGATTTGAGGCCAGCTTCAACAACTTAGTGAGACCTTGTCTCTGAATGAAATAAAAAGCTCTCGAGACGTAGCTAAGTGGGTACCACTGTATTCAATCCCTAATACCAAAAACAAAAAACAAAAAAACCAAGCCTGCACGTTATGTATATTAAGTACCTATGTGCCAGGCACTTAACTAGACCCCAGTAAGTGAAGTTATACACCCTGCCCTCAAGAAATTTGTAGTCTTGGAAAAAAAAAAAAAACATAGTCCTATAGATAATGCATGTAAAACAAATCATTACAATGTAATTTACTTCTCTATACCTCTCTTCTGTCTTGCCTGTAAAGTTTTAGAATAGAATGATCACCCCCTGGGGTATTTGAGGAGATTAAATAGATCAATATAGATTAAAATGCTTAAAACAAGAGCTTTGTTGTTACTAATAATACAATGTCTATCATAGAAGAGTGTACAAGGTAAAATAGTATTTCAGCAGCCGTATTGTGAAGAGACTTTACAGAGGTCCTAAATCTTGAAAGATCAGGAATTATTCAGATAGAGAGGTGTATAAGAAGGTATGTAGCAGATAGAAGGGGGGGAAAACAGCATGAAAACGTATATATATACACACACACATACATATACATACACATACATGCACATATATGTATATGTGTGTATATATGTATATACATATGAACATTCAGACATTCTGAGTAGATCAGAATGATTGGAATTCATGGCACAATAGGGAGAGCAAGTTGGAGTGTAGAACAAGTAACAGGCAGCTTTTTCTGCCAGTCTAAGGAGTTTCTTCTCTGACCTAAGTGTCACAGTAGATTGCTTTCACTGCTTTAGAAGTGGCACTTTGTCTTCAGTCTCCTGAGAGCCATGAATTGGTTCAGCCCCTAAAGTACATGTTGTGTGCCAGGTGCAATGCTAAACTGAACCTAGGAATTATGAAGGTTGCAGACCTGCTCTGTATTGAGCAACTAAAGAAGCCCCTCAGTTAATAGAGTTCTTAACTGGTATTAAAAAAAAGAACTTGCCACAGGCCATGGCATTGGGTAGCTAGGTCAGAACAAAGAATGAAGACCAAGAGAGGAAGAGGGAATACTGAGATATCAGGACTAAAGAAATGTATTGCAAGCATACTGACACCCAGTGCATTCTAATGCATTGACAGTGAGCTTCTGCTTCCGAACGGTAAGTCCATTGACTGATTTCCATTTTCCCTTCATATTCAACAGTTTCCCTTAGGTTGTCTCTTTTCCAATTTTATAGGGATTTCCTGATCTCTTTTTTACTGTTATTTCCATCTGTTAACTAAATTCTAGATTCATATCTAAGAATCAGGTTTAGGATTACCTTAATTAAAGTTTTCCAGAATTGTACCTATGTTCATTTGAGATTTAAAGAATAGAATATTAATGTATTTTGGAAGCCAAAATAAGGTTAACATAATTTACATTTTAAATATTACCAATTTCAATAGACTTTTTAAAATTTTAAAATATTTTTATTGTGTATGGAGATGGTACATATCACTTCTATGTGTATGTATATCACCATTTTAACCATTTTTAATTAAACAATTCAGTGGTAGTAATTACATTCACAATGTTGTACAATCATCGCTGCTATTTACAAAACTTTTTCATCACCCTAAACAGCTTGTTGTAACTTCCAATTTCTGTGTTTGAATTTGCCTATTCTAGGTATTTCATGTAAGTGGCATCATATAATAGTTGTCTTTTTGTGTCTGGCTAATATTACTTAACATAATGGTTTTAGGGTTCATGCTTGTTATAGTCTGTATCAGAACATTATTCCTTTATATGGCCGAATAATCTGTTGTAAGTATAAAGCTGCATATTGTTTATCTATTCATCTTTTGATGAGCACTTCAATTGTTTACACCTTTTGGCTACACTGAATAATGCTGCAGTGAACATTGGCATGCAGGTATCTGAGTCCCTATGTCAGTTCTCTTGGTTATATACTCAATAGACTGTTAAATTCCTTAAGAACAGAACGTCTATCTTCCTCATCATTTTTCTACCTCCTGGCATCTAGTATAGTATTTATCACTTAAGAGTCATTGATTAATGTCCAACTAATCAGAGTATTGGGTCTGCATTTCCTAACTTTAGCCAGCAGATGAAATATATGAAGGCTTAATGTTAGACCATAAAATTGGTGTAAAAGGAAGTGTAAGCTTTTGTTGTAGTGTTTTATCAAGACAGATTGCTAAATTAATTTGTACTTTGTAAGAAGAAACTGCTTTAGACTAAGATTGCTGTTAACTGAAAGGCCAACTAGATTGTGTTTTCATTTTGCATGGTGTTCTCTCTCTCTCTCTCTCTCAACAGTGAATGCATAAAAATCCAACCAACCGACATTCAACCTGACATATTCAGCTATTTGTTACATATTATGTACACGGGGAAAGGGCCAAAACAGATTGTGGATCATAGTCGTTTGGAGGAAGGGATTCGATTTCTTCATGCCGACTACCTTTCTCACATTGCAACTGAAATGAATCAAGTGTTCTCACCAGAGACTGTGCAGTCCTCAAACTTGTATGGCATTCAGATTTCAACAACCCAAAAAACAACTGTGAAACAAGGGCTGGAGGTCAAGGAAACTCCTTCCAATAACAATGGAAACAGAGCTGCTGTCCAGGGTGACCACCCTCAGTTGCAGCTGTCTCTTGCTATTGGGCTTGATGATGGCACTGCAGACCAGCAGAGAGTTCATCCTGCTGCCCAGGCCTTGGAGGAGCACCAGAAACCCCCAGTGTCCATCAAGCAGGAGAGATGTGATCCAGAATCTGTGGTCCCCCAGAGCCACCCCTCACCCTCATCAGAGGTAACAGGTCTCTCTTTTACAGAAAACAGTGTCAAAATACATTTATGCCATTACTGTGGGGAACGTTTTGATTCCCGTAGTAACTTAAGACAACATCTCCATACCCATGTGTCTGGATCCCTTCCATTTGGTGTCCCTGCTTCCATTCTGGAAAGTAATGATCTTGGAGAAGTACACCCACTTAATGAAAATAGCGAGGTTCTTGAATGTCACAGGCTCAGTTCCTTTATTGTCAAGGAGAATGAGCAGCAGCCTGAACACTCAAATCGTGGTACCACAGAGCCTTTGCAGATTAGTCAAGTATCTTTGATCTCCAAAGATACAGAGCCAGTAGAATTAAACTGTAATTTTTCTTTTTCAAGGAAAAGAAAAATCAGTTGTACCATCTGTGGTCATAAATTTCTTAGAAAGAGTCAATTGCTGGAACACATGTATACACACAAAGGTAAATCTTACAGATATAACCGATGCCAAAGGTTTGGTAATGCATTGGCCCAGAGATTTCAGCCATACTGTGACAACTGGTCTGATGTACCTGTGAAAAGTTCTCGCTTATCACAAGAACACTTGGACTTGCCTTGTGCCTTAGAGTCAGAGCTCACACAAGAAAATGTTGACACTATCCTTGTTGAATAGCAACTCCTCCTACAGAATTTTTATACCAATCCTGAAAAAAAAATTCATGTGGTATTTTTTATTTATGGATTATTTTCCTTCTCAAGTGCTTGACTTTTTTTGTAATCCAGTTTTTAAGGTTGTATATATTAGGTCTTACAAGACATATATTAGTACATGCCTATTAAAATGTAACCTTCAGTTAATCCTATGAACTTCTCATAAATTAAATCTCAGTTTAGAAATCAGAAATCAGTGTGGAAATTTATAGAAACTTAGATGGATATTTATAGAATCTAAGTTTTTCCAGGTTTCAGAATCAGTAAAATAAAATAGAATATGAAATCTGTTTTAAAGAATATTCTAGGGCCTGGGGATATAGCTCATTGGTAGAGTGCTTGCCTAACATGTGCAAGGCCCTAGGTTCAATCCCCAGCACTGCTAAAAATAATATTCTAAACTGTTATTCATGGCTTATGTTTCATATGAATTTAGTCCCTATGAGGATTATTTTAAAATATTTTCTGCCATGTAGGAAATTAGTAGCTATTTTAATACATAATTATCAATAATACATATATTTGTCTTTTTAGAATCTTTTTTTCCCCACTTTTTTTTATTGGTGCATTAGAGTTGTACATAATGATGGAATTTGTTGTTACATATTCATACATGCACACAATATAACAATATAATTTGGCCAGTATCACTCCCCAGCACTACTTCCTTACCATCTCCCACCCCTTAGTTCTTTTCCTCTACTGATCTCCCTTTGACTTCCATGAGATCTGCCCCAACCTTTCTTTTCCTTTTTCTTCTTTAGCTTATGCGTATGAGAGAAAACATAAGTCCCTTGACCTTCTGAGTTTGACTTTACTTAACATAATGACATCTAGTTCCATCCATTTTCCTTCAAATTACATAATGTAATTTTTCTTTATGACTGAAATATGTAGTATATAGGATTAAGATGTGGCTATACTGAATCATGAGTAATTTTGTTGTTGTTGGGTATTTTTGTTTTTGTTTTTTGGTACCGGGGATTGAACCCAGGGGCACTTAACCACTGAGCCACATTCCCAACCCTTTTTTTTGAGACAAGGTCTTGCAAAATTGCAAAAGCTGGCCTCGAATTTGCAATCCTCCTGACTTAGCTTCGCAAGCCACTGGGATCAAGGAGTGTGCCATGCCTGACTTGTTGTTGGGGTTTTTTTTTTTTTTTTTTTTTGTGTGTGTGTGTGTGTGTGGTACTGGGGATGGAACCCAGGGCATCTGTCACTGAACTACATCCCCATCCTTTTTTTTTTTTTAAGACAAGGTCTCCCTCTGATTCCAAGGCTGGCCTTGAACTTGTGATCCTGCTTCAGTTTCATACGTAGCTGGGTTTACTACAGGTGTGTGTCACCATACCCAGCAAAATTTTACTAGCTTTGCAACATCTTTTATTTACTAAACATTGAGTATAGCTCTTTTAAAAAATATATTTCATTTAAAAGAGTAGTCAGGAGGGCTGGGGTTGTGGCTCAGCGGTACCGCTCTCCTAGCACATGCGAGGCCCTGGGTTCGATCCTCAGCACCCATATAGAAGTAAATAAAATAGAGGTATCGTGTTTAACTAGAACTAAAAATAAAAAATAAAAAGAGGAGTCAGATTAAAAAATAATCTTAAAGAGAAATACATAAGCAGATCTACCTTAATCTCTGTTTTTATATGCTTAACTAATACCCTGGGGTTGTAACCTTCATCCCAAGCATTAAGAACAATTTGAGATATTTCTGAACATAGATTTACATGAGTTTAAAGACAAAAGTGATGAAATACAAATCATCTTTCTACCCTCTTCTGTCAGGATTTTCTAGGCTATGTGGGTTAATGTTCGTTTTCTAAAAATCACTTGACATGTTTTAGAGGCATAATGGTCACTTTTTCTGTTCCTAAAACAAGCAAAGTAGATAAATTCAGTAATCTAGAACCACATTGAAAATCTTTGATGGTAGCTTTCCCTGTGTGAATAACTTAGTTTCCTTTTATAATGGTGATATAAAGCTAAAATCCCAGAAAAATTAAAGTTTGTAGAATAAGTGATAGATACTGCTGCTCTCTATACCTGAGAATCATCTGGTTAAATTTCACCATAAAAGATAGATTTAAATTGTTTCTGAAGAATTTAAATTTCAAGTACTAATAGTGAAGAATAATAGAGGAGAACTGGGGTTGTGGCTCAGTGGCAGAGTGCTTGCCTTGCATGTGTGAGGCACTGGGTTCGAGCCTCAGCACCACATAAAAATAAACAAATAAAATAAAGGCATGCTGTCCATTGGCTACCACTATCCAAAAAAAAAGCACTGGATTTATTTAAAAAAAAAACAGAAGAGACTCCAAACAGTCTCATCATTTTTGTGTATTGCCCTATTAAATTCTAAGCCTCACAGACATTTGAAGAACATTTGAGAGTTCCTACTCTTATTTTTATTTATTTATTTTTTCCTTTTGAGATGGGATTTTGCTCTGATTTCCCAGGCTAGCTTTGACTTCCTTGGCTCAAGTGGTCCTCCCGTTTTAACATCCTGAGTAGCTAGCCAGGACTACAGACATATGCCACCGTGCTTCAGCCTTACAGACATTTGAATATATCTCATAAAATTGATTTGTAAGACTTGGAATTTAACCACATTCAAAAAATCTTTGAGCTCCTTCCTAACTGCACACTTCTTAGGACATTTGGTGACGTACTCAACAATCTTGATATTCAATCAGGAGTGAGCTCAGAATAATCCACCTAATAAGAACACAAAGATTTTCTCTAGGTAAACAGTTTAGGTAAAATTACAAAGTGTTAACTTTTTCTTGAGGTCTGAATGAAGAATACTTCTAGGCATTGTATAAGGCAGTTGAATTTCTGCTGAAGGTGAGAAAAACCTCTTGGTGTCAAGAATGATCTGTGCTGAGAGCAAATTTCTTTGTTAATATGATCAATTGTATTGGGAATTGTTAAAAACAAATGTGTTGCTCTTTGGATTCAGAACTTCATCTAATCTTAAATTTTTTTTTACTAATTCACGTAAACAATTACTCAAACTTATACTGCCCTTCAAGATTTCAACTCACAAGAAGAACACAAATATTAACACTGATTTTATGTATTTTGGGCTATTTGTGATATATTCTGTGATCTTCTATGTATTTTGGGCTATTTGTGATATATTCTGTGATCTTCTTAAAGTAAATTTTTATTCTCATTAAGTTTTCTTATAGCTGATTAGCTATGCTAGACAATACTTTAAAATTAAAGTACAAATAAATCTATGTGAGTGTTAAGATGATAGTGGTCAACTGGATTTCTGTTCTTATACTTTCTTTTTAATATTAAGAATTCAAAGCATTGGGGTGTTGTGGTACACACTGTAACCCCACTAACCCCAATTACTCAGAACGCTGCAGCAGGGGCATTACAAGTTTAAAGCCTGTCTGTGTGATATAGCAAGATCCCATCTCAAAAAAAAAAAAAAAAAAAAAAAAAAAAAAGCAAGCAAGCAGATGCTCTTTCCTTGGTCCTTTTTTTTTTCCCCCCTTGGTCCTTTAATATTCTGTCTTACAATGTGGAAAGTGTTGTTTACTTCATTTTATTGGGGAAAAAAAATCCCAAAAGCTGAATTCCAGAGAACCAGAAACTTTTTTTTTCTTTTTTCATTCATCAGGCATTTTTAAAATAACTGTCATAAGCCTAACACTGGGCCCTGAGAGTTTTTTTTTTTTTTTTGTACAGGGGATTGAACTCAGGGGTACTTGACCACTGAGCCATATCCCCAGCCCAATTTGGTATTTTATTAGAGGCAGGTCTCACTGAATTGCTTAGCATCTCACCATTGCTGAGGCTAGCTTTAAACTTGGGATCCTCCTGTCTCAGCCTCCTGAGCAGCTGTGATTACAGGCGTGCACCACCGTGCCTGGCTGGTTTTTTGTTTTCTTTAAGACATGATTCCTCACTAAAATTTTAAAGTTCTTGTATGTAAAGCCTTTTGTTATGACTGTATCATCTGCAAAATAGAACTATGCTTTTAGAAAGTATTCTAATAATGTAGGTTTGCTTAATGATTATCATTCTTAAAACTGGAAATGCCATGTGTTTTTTCATCTGTATATCAGGCAAATACTAACTAGGCATTTTCCCCATGGGTCAGCTTTAAATTTTCTCTTCTTTTCAAATCCTACATATAGTTTTTTTCTTGGAAAAAAAAATAGACAATTTCAGTATTTGTCCTTATGAGTGTATTATCAAAACTTAATGTCTAATAAGTAGTCTGCCTTATAAGAAAACCAAAATTCTTGATCTATAATTTTTGAGATTGTTTTTTCTCGCTCTGGCTTTCTGATTTACTACCTGTAAAATAAGTACAAGTAATACCTACCTCATAGAGGTGTTGTGAGGATTTGTATTAAAGTTGTGTTAAATTCTGTTAGTATTAATGATTAAAAACCAACCATAAAGAGAAAACTACATTTATTCTGTGACTAAAAATATTAACCAATATTTCAGCTTATAAATTCTAGAACACGTTAGAAGCAGTCGTGTACTATTTAATATTCAATAATTAATTGACAAAACTCATTTTTTACAAATAACAAAATTGCTTGAATTCTTATTCTACTGTAATTATAACAATTTCTCTTTAGCCTTCAGCAGATAGACTTTTGGCATTATTGGGAATAAAATCTTGCCAATTTCAGCTTTATTAGAAGTTTCTCCAAATGTGTTGTTTTCACATAGGAAATGGAACAAAGACAATGAAGAAATAACCATTCATTTTTTTGATGAAGATGATTTTAATAGTAAATAGGAATAGAAAATGGAGTAAGGATATTACATGGTACTTCATTAATATTACTTTAAAATAGTATTAAAATAATTTTCACTAAAAACTGAAGGAAATATATATTATGGAAAAAGATAATCTGGAGAGTGTATAACTCCATTAAAATTTATTTGTACAGGCAAATGTTTGATGTTGTAACTCAGATTCTTGATGATCAATATCTATTTTTTTTGTAGTAATTGAAGTAAAAATAGGCCATGTCAGAGTTTTCATAATGTAACTTGTGTCTTTGATCTTTTAAATTTAATGTAGGTCTTTGGCATTGTATTACAATTAATTTTTAAATTCTTAAGAGTGAAATGTGTAAATATGCTCTGCTATACTTACTTTTTTTTTTTGAAAACTGGTAAGGTTTTACTGTCCCATACCTGGATGTCTTAGATCCGAAACTGTGATTATTAAGACCTGGAAAAATGTTTTGTGCTTCAACATGTGTCTGTACCACACTTGATTACCTAGTAGATATTGCTCCAGTGCAATTGACATTAAGTGTCATCAGTTATATTTTGTGCCAAAAAACTCATTTAGTCAAAATCAAAATATAAATAAAATATTTTAAAAGAAAGTTGAACTATAAATGTTTGCATAATAATAAAGGGCATACTGAAGAAATCTTAAAATTATAGGTAATTCATAGCAAATGCAGGAGACTAAAATCAATAATACGTTGTATGATTAACTCTTTCACCTAATGTACTATGAATTTGCTTCAGAAACATTCTTTTAGAAAGTTTTGTATTCTCCAGTTGGAATAAAAACAATAGATTCTATGTACTTTATCAAGACAAATTAATGTAATTTATAAACAAAACCTTTTATTAGCTCGGCTTATAGGTTGTGTTCTTATTTTACAGCAGTCCTGCCAAATATTGTCTTCCTAGTGTTGAGGTAAGTAGTCTTTGTGCTGGGTAACATTTTGGAGATGTGATGCAAAAAAGTATCAGTAGACCCTGTTCTTCCGAACCATAATCTATGGTAAAAGAAAAGGGGTATCCTAATCAAATAAGTGCCTTCCAACTGCCATTTCTGGAAAGAAAGGTAATAAATGTCTAGTCATTTCCCAGAAGTTTCTTTGCTCCTATCTTCCCTATTTACATTATATCTCCTTGCCCCCAGTAACATAATCTACATCAGTAGTTCTCAACCATATGTCAGTCTGGATGGGATTCTCCAGTAAAAAGGAACCAACAGGAGATAGAAAGATGAGATAGATATATAGATGTGTTACAAGAAATTGGCTCATGCATTTATGGAATTGAGAAGTCCCAACATCTATATTTTGCAAACTGAGAAACAGGGGAGCCAATGGTGTAGTTCTAGTGTGGTCCAAAGGCCTTGAAACCAGTAGAGCTAATGGCAGAAGTTCCAGTTCAAAATTGGGCAGGTTTGAGACCCAAGCCAGTATTTCAGTATTCATCCAAAGACAGGAGATCAGTATCCTAAATTAAAAAAAAAATGCTTATAGACACCCAGAATACTGTTTGACTAAATATATGAATACTTCATGATCTAGTCAAGTTGAGACATTAACCAGCACCCAGAGATATCCCCCTCTCCATGGTAACATCTGGCAGTATGGAGATGGTTTTGGTCATCTACTGAATAGGAGATAAGGGAAGGTTGCTACTGGCATTTAATGGGTGTCAATCACGGATGCTGCTAAAAATCTTACAGTGCAGAAGACAGCCTCCCACAATGAAGAACTACCCAGCTCAGTGTCCGTGGAGCTGAGGTTGACCAACCCTGGTGTAAAAGCTTAATGTAAGTTTTGTGGTAGTTGTCAGGAATTAAAGAATGCAAAGAAACTTATTTTAAGATTTCTATCCCAATTATTTTTGAGGTTAATTATTATTTATTTTAATGGAGTATGTGATATGTTTGTTGTGAAGTGAATTCTATTTGTATTATCCTATCCCCCAGATTATAAAAAATTAAAAATGTGATTATTTAAAAATCAGAGGTGTATTAATTGGGACAGTTTTAAATCTATTCATATACTATTTGAATGAAATAATTGTGTCTCTAAATTCTCTTGGTGAAATTAAAATGGGATTGTAGGTTATAATTTTGTAAATCTTGGGGGCCGGGGTTGTGGCTCAGAGGTAGAGTGCTCGCCTACCATGCATGAAGCACTGGGTTCCATCCCCCGCACCACATAAAAATAAAATATTGTGTCCACCTATAACTAAAAAATAAATATTTAAAAAATTTTTTTGTAAAGTTTCAATTGGCCAAAAGGTGGCACCAGTGTACTTTTTAAAAATGCACCAAGTTTGGTGTTACTCTTAATTGTTAGCTACTTCTGGATTTGCCTTTACTTTATAGTCAGCAGCTCACTACAGTGGTATTGTTTTTATTCTTCCTCATTTCCTTCCATCTAGTTCTAGTCTGAGTAAGCTGAGAATTCCTTTCTCTTTAATAGAATCCTCTTACCCTCAGCTCTTTTTGCCTTCCAAAAATTAGTGAATGTCTGTCTTTTAAATTTGTTCCCATTTCTACTACAAGGTTATTGTTAGTTTTCTCCTAGAACTTAATACCTAGCCACCAATTGCTTTCCTCAGTTTTATTTCACAGTTGATGAGCCAACTTGGAAAATGAACCCATTTCCCTCAGATAAATTTTCTTCCAGTGTTTATACAATGTTATACTTTTTCCATTGAAACAACTTGGTGATATCATATTAAAATAACAGAAATAAAGTATCCCTTTACTGTTGTCCTTTACTGTCAGAAGTCTGAAGGAGTAGCAGTGCACTGGGAGGGATTCTTTGTACACTGCACTAGTCCCTTCCCTTCTCAGAGCCAGGGAGAGGCTTATGGAAGGAGGCAGCTGGAGAAGGTGTCCCTCACCAGCTATAGTTGTGTTTTTACTGAGTTTCAGGAAGTCCCACATCAGATTTGTGTGTACCTAGTGAGTCTCTGAAGAATGAGACCTAATGAATTTAGCCTGTTTTTCTGAAGACATATGACATATGATACTTTGTTCCAAATGTGTAGGTTAAAAACAAAACAAAGGAATGGGAGATGGGAGGGACTGAGATTTGTATAAACTGCTTTGTAGGGAAGGAAATCTAAATAAACTGTAGTGGTTCTTCAGCAAATATTCATCTGTTAACTTTTTGAATGAGAAAATAAAACATTTGCATAAGGAAGGGGAAAGGTCTTTAAATGCAGACCAAAGATTCCAGAGAAATGATATAAAAAATTTTCTTAGCCAGTCAGTTCTCATTTCTGAACACTTCCCTTTTCTCACAAATGTGCAGTCTCATACTATGAGTGAAGTGGTTCTTTCCTCTTTTTTCCAACCACAGTATTTTAAAGTATGGGAGGAAAGGCATATAAAGGGAAGACTTTTTTTTTTTATTTTACGCATCTCTTTGTAGACCTCTCAAACTTTGATGGCTACACTCAGCCACCATGATGGCCCTGCAGATTATGTGTAAATACTCAGATGGTATAGAGGTCATAATAAGTTTAAAGACTTGTCAAAATTTGTTATATGCTACAAATAGGTGGATTTTTTTTTTTTTTACTGTTTGTAAAGTATGGCTTAATGAAAAAAGATGCATACCACTCAGAAAAATACAGAAAAGTCTTATTAGAGTTTAACAAAACTTAATGATTGCTATTATTCACAGTTATTCATCATCTTTCAGGAGAAACACTTCAGTCAGATATTGAGCACATAGAGAGAACTCAGAAAATTAGAGATAATTCTATGCAAATTCATGCTGAAATCAGGGAAATAGCTGACAAAGCTATTTGTGATATATTTGGATAAAATATAGAAAATCCAGTTCATTTTTTTTCATCTGAATTGTGTAGTGACCATTTGTTTTGGCATTCTATACATCTCAGCCTTCTAGCATTTAAGGGCAGTTCTACTTTAGTCATTCTGTTAGGAGGATGGAAATACTTTAATTTTGTATGACACTTAGAGATATTCTGCCTAAATACCTGATTTTGCAAATGACAATTACACATGAAACCTGTGTCCTGAAATTTATATGTGAGGCTATTTGATGAGCACACACATGCATGCCTATAGCTGCATTAGCTATGGTGATGGATCACCAGGGTATCCCAGAGTCCCCCTAGTGACCATATTGGCCAGACATTTCTGTGTGACCCAAAGATATAGAAGTTAAAGCAGGGATTTGGGGGTAAAAGATTTAGATACAGGGCTGGGAGTGTGGCTCAGGGCAGAGCATGTGCTTAGCATGCATGAGGTCCTGGGTTCAATCCCTAGCACTTAGGAAGCATATGCAGTTATTTGCACCCAATCTCCCAGGAGGGCAGAAGTGGAAAACCCTGGTTATGGCCCCAAGTACAGCTATGAAAAATATATGAAAGGCTTAATCCTGCCCCATAATTGCAGTGTCATAAAGGTCAAGGCTGAAAGTCCTTTTTAAGTTTAGTTACAAAGCAAATGGTGAGGAAAGTGTTTAGTCTTGCTAATGTACAGAAACCGCTAGAGACTGCTACCATGGTTATAATAGGTTGAAAATCAGTTTTAAGGCTGGGAGTTTTCCAAGCTAGGAGCTATCACCATCTTCTCTAGGTTTTACTTTTTTATGGTGCCTGCACCCAACATTGCTGAGAATTCACTGCAGTTCTGACAGTGTGTCATGTGTACATGTACAAACACACATGTATTCTTTGTAGAGCTCAGGAACAACCTTTGGTAAGCTTAAACTGGAAGTGGGGAAGGAACTCACAAAACAGTTAGAGCCAAGGTGGCTTTAACAGGGATTAGCAGAGTTGCCTGTGAGGACAAGTTTGCAAAAGGTAGTATATATTTCTAGAAATATGTAATTTGATGAAAATTTTTAAAATTTGATAACTGAGCCAGGTGCAGTGGCGCAGTCTGTATTCCCAGTGGCTTGGGAGGCTAAGGCAGGAGAATCGTGAGTTCAAAGCCAGCCTCAGCAAAAGTGAGGCACTAAGCAACTCAGCGAGACCCTGTCTCTAAATAAAATATAAAAATTACAGCTGGAGGGGCTGGGATTGTGGCTCAGTGGTAGGGCGCTCACCTAGCATGTGAGAGGCCCTGGGTTTGTTCCTCAGCACCACATAAAAATAAGTAAATAAAATAAAGGTATTGTGTCCAACGACAACTAAAAAATAAATATTAAAAAAAAATACAGTTCAGTGTAAAGTGCTCACCTAGCATGTGAGGCACTGGATTTGATCCTCAGCACCATATTAAAAAAATAATAAATAAAATAAAGGTATTTTATTTTGTGTCCATCTACAAAAAAAAAAAAAAAGACATTAACTGGAACTAGGTTTAGTTTTAGGACTTTGAAGGTACTATCAACTTTTAAATGGGTCCAAGTCTTTCATAGAGCCCAAATATTATTATTGGGCTGTAATTAAGAAAAACCAGCATTATGTTAGCAGAATGAATCAGTGTCTTAGTAGTCACAGAACTTTTGACACACCCAGCCTTAACAGGTACTACCTGGATAATTTAAGCATTTTTTACATCAAGATGGCTTGATTATTTGGGAAACCATAAAGATCATTAAGAAATCATATAAATTAATATAATTCAGAAAAGACAACTAATGAGTATATAGCAAGAAAGGATGAAAACTGCCTTTTTTGTTTCTATTATTGTTTTGTTTTGTTAAGCAGCACTGGGGAGCAAACCCAGGACTTCTTGCATTGCTAAGCAAGAGCTCTTACCACTGAGCTACACCCCCAGCCTCCCAAACAGTTTTCGTTAAATTCACAGGTGGCATCACATTCAGAACTTCCCTTTAGGTTGAATTAGTTAAGAATTCTAGTTCTCTTGCTGAAAGTAGATTCCTTCAGGCACATATTATAAAGTCTGTCTGATGCCCAATCAGCTGAGTGGAACTTTTGGTAAGGCTAACTAAGTGGTTTTATCAGTATGATATTTATAGTTTTATGAAGTGAACATAATTTACCATTTTTTAAAGCTGTGGATAAATAAACATTCTTTATTAATAATTAGTATCTAAATTAATTCGGCTTGAAACCTTTTTATCATAGTATTATTTATTTAATACTAATATCTGATCCACAGTAATACAATACCAATTTTAATGAGAAATACAAAATGGAATTCTTAAGACTTTCAGAATAGCTCATCCACTTAACATTTTTACAGACAATGAACTACTATAAATATGTAACGTTATGCAGGCCTTTTTCTGTACCTAGGCACAATTCAGAATGAATATACTGTTTAACTATTTTGAAACTGCTAGTGTATTCAGATGACACTTTCCCCCACACAACCCAAAATTACTCTCTCTGCTTCCCTATCTGGCCTCATGTTGCTGCACTGTCTGTGGCTCTTTGCCTTAACCTCTGTCCCAGCTTCTGCTGTCCTGTTCCCTAAACTGAGCTCTTGGAAAGCAGAGAGCCTGTTCCATTATCAAAATGTTTGGCACGTGTTATGCCTAACAGAGGCTGAATCAAATAGTATTTAATCTGCATACCCAAGTTTTATGTAGCTTCATTCTAATAAATGTAACTAAATAAGGATCATTATTTTAAAAATCTTTCATAAAATGTTCTATGGAGGATATTTTGAATTGTGTGTAAGAAACCTCATGTTACACAATAAAACACAGGAATTTGAAACTAAAGAACTCTAAAACTTAAGGGATTCAGAAATAGCAGGCAGAAAAATCAAACCCTGATGTATTTAATAGCAGATGAAATTAGAAAGTAGACTTTTTTCAGTAAAGTTGACATTAAAAGGATGTTTTCGAACAATAAGATTCTAAAGTCTCACAATTATTTTTTAAATTCTGTTGTAAAACCCTAAAAAAACTTAACTTTAAAAAGTAAGGCAACTTGAAGTTAGTTAGAAATTTATGGATAAAATTAACTCTGGAATGCATGCGGATTTGACTGGAGCCCTCTCATGATCTCTGAAACAACCTTTAGCAAGATGCTTATTCACATATACTGGTGAAATAATACAAGTTCTCAAAAGTAAATTAGAAAGTTTCTAAGACTCCACTGCATAGTAGCCCAATTAAGATCATTGCAAACTCTGTGCTGTCAAATATATTACCTTGAAAGAAAATTATGCAGACAGCTTTTATATGAAGAACTCCATTTGTGCCACATGCTTATTATTCTTTGAGGTGGAGGAGGTGGCAGGGAACATAATTTCTGTTTGAAAGTTCTTTTGTTTTCTTCTACCTTTACTGGGTACTATTTTTATATCTTGTAAAGTGCTTTAAAAAATGTTAGGTGAATAGTGCTACATAAAATAGAGAATTTTAATATCCTGTGTTGTAAGAAGCAAAGTGAATAATACTTGACTCTTAAAAGGGGGAAGATAATATGCTGAAAAGATTAATAAGAATCTGATAAACTCCCCCAGGCTTGCAAAAAAAAAATCTGAGTTCAAAGTGAAGCTAAATCCTAGCTAATAAATGTTCATTAAAAGCAATATTTATACCATAGCAGATTTAAATGAAAATATGGTGTTCTTAAATTTAAGCTTTTTAAATGATCAAATGGATGTGAAATGAATCAGAACCTATTTATATTCACACAGTATTTTGCATATATGGTAAAATTACTTAAAATAAATACTATTATAATAAAAAATATTTTATGAGAGACTTCTAGGCCATCCAATTCCTGCTTATTTCTATAACAAAACAATTTGGATCCCTTTAGAAATTCACTATAATAGGATTTGGCCATGTAACAGATATAATAGATTGAGACCAATTAATTTGAGGATTGTATTTTCAAATAAATACTAGTTATTTAATTCACTAGAAAAGATTGAGGAGAAACCACTTAATAAAGAACACAAGTAAGAGAATACATATCATCATAAAAACGATCATAATGCATTCTAACCAAAATTACATTTATCAAATAACAGTGTGAAACCTATATATTTCACTATACATATTTAGCTTGTATCTGTTGTTTTTTAAATCCTAAATAAATGTCTAAACCTTCCAAACTGCTTTAAATAATTGATGAATGCTATACTTTTGCTTGTTCATAAGAGATTACTGGAAAATTATAATGCAAGTATATTGGCTTGGAGCAATCCTTGTAATAAATGAAGACAGGATTCTTCAAAATACTATACAATGCACCAACCTTAATCAGGTTTTTAAGTTGTTCATTTTAATATGTGATATTTGCTGGTAGCTTTCTAAGTCTATTAGCACCACATATAGAGAGTTAAAGAGTTTTTCAAATAATATGACTTAATCTTTAAAAAATATTGGTAGCAGTTGTATAATTAAAAGACAAGGATTTCTTGGGTCATTTTTTTATCTTGCTACTGAAGGAAACTTCCCCACCAATATTATAAACATGAAGGTAGGAAAATCTGGGAGAAATATTTTTGTACTGCAGCAAAGAATCTTACTAATAATATCCATTATTTGGTTTAATTCCAAAGTCAGACTAGCTTTCTCTGTCAGAGGTCTCAAAACTTATTTACCAAAAAATGAATTATAGGAAAAATTAGCACATAACTTTGTGTAAGCAATCTTGAAATGACGCAAGTTGTCACCCAGATCATTTAAAAACATCTAATGTGCATCCTTCCTCTAAGATGGTCTTCAACAAACCTTACCATTCATACTTCCATTTTTTCATGTGTTTCAAGTAGTAAGATGGGAGACTATACAATATGAACCTTAACCTGTGAGGCAAGGAAGTATGTTAGGGTATCGTGGCCATTTCATACAAGAAAATGGGAGACTATACAATATGAACCTTAACCTGTGAGGCAAGGAAGTATGTTAGGGTATCGTGGCCATTTCATACAAGAAAACATAGAAGATAGAATTTTATCCAAAAAACATGGCAATCATTAATGTGATTGAATGCTTCTCTTTAAATAACTGAATAAAATGCAAATGAAGCCCTTCTCGTTTTTGTAAAATATTAGCTGGACTGGAAATTGTGATGAAAAAGTTAATTTTCAATATCCATGTAAAATACTTTTTACTGGTTTCTCTTAACACATAGACACACTGAAAATATGTACCTTATAAATAATTTTATACATGGCTCATTCTTGGCCAAGAATAAACAACATTTTCACTAGAATATTATGATTTCCTAGGATCTTTACCATCGGACCTCTCCCCTCCTTGAGGAGAGGTTGGTAAATAGGGTCTTTAAAGAAGAAATTCTTCAAGAAGAACTCTGTGCTGTGATCATTTGTTACTTCTCCTGGATGAAAAGTAATATTCCCCTCATTTTGTTTTCATTGTTTTGTTTTACACTTTTCAGCAGACCAGCCAGTATCAGCTGGTATAAAAATGGATATATACAGATCTGCTGGGGCTAAAGCAAGGTGGAAAGGGAAACTGTATCCCTTGTTTCCACACTATTTGCCTATTTGAAGGATCTCATCAATGGCTTTTGTAAGGGACTTGAGCAAAATGAGAAAACCACTTATGTTTAATTCCAGTATGCATATTATGCATAGTCTCTGCTGAAATTAGAAATGCAATATATTTTTTGAGGTAATACTACTGCTGAGGAATATAATAACTATAAAATACACATTCACAAAAATAACTCACCTTATTCACCATTTTAAACAACATAAAAGTGCAGTGTAAAAAAAGTTTTTGAAAACTGAATGCGATGTTACACAGCATTAAACTATTAAAAAGAAATCAGACTTTGTGACATCAGAGAACAGTAAAGAGCTTATGGCATACTGCAGTGCTCAATAAATATTTCCTTCCCCAAACAATCTCCATATGCCATTTTAGTACTCCCTGTATGTCACTTTGTGTTGCAATCTGTGCTGACTTCCTTCAATCCAGAAGTGACTGCATTTCAGTGGTAGAGTTTTATGAACTTGATTTACTCTTTAGCACTTGTAGGCTGGGATTTTTACCTTTAATTCCACAAGTGATAAATCTTATTTGTATCTGAATAAGAAATGCCACAAATGTGTAAATGGTTTAGCTTTTCTTCCTTGACCTGGAAATTAAGTCACTGTAGGAGAGTGTTTATCTTATTATCATCGGAGGCCATTTCATTAATCAGCTGTTCTATAGACAACTGGATAGCATTCCTGACAAGAGAAGAAGCTGTTTCTATTAAGAGTGTTTCATATTGTTCTGGAGTTCTACCCTCAAAACCACTATCATTAGCAAAAACCCCTACTTGCTCATTTTCTATTGAAATTAAGAATTGCTTAGGGACATTTTTAGATTTCTTAACATCAAATTCACTGATTTCAGTGTCTGTAATAATAATAGCAATTGGCTCCATTCTTTTGCTTTCTTCTGATTTGGGTTTCTCTGCATTGATCCCATTTTCTTTCAGATCTGATTCCTGGCTCAATTCAGTATCTTTTGGCTTATTCTCTTCAGCTGCCATCTCTCTACTTTCATAGTCTTCACAGTATGGTCTACTTTCTAGGACACTGTTATTGGATTCTTCCACAGTTTTCTGATCTGGGATTGCAGGTGATGGAGGAACATCAGAAGCCACTAGTTGCTGGTTGTCTGTTTCTGAACTTGCAAGCGGGCTTGCTTGCTGGGGTTGAACACTTTGTTTTTCTTCAATCATTTCAATTTCCTTTTCAAGGATTAGAGTTCCTGTTTGAATAGCAGAATGCCCATTATCTAATTCAAGTTCTACTGAAATCACATTCTCTCCAGATGTTATGCTGCTGTTCACATTTGATTCACAGAACTCATCACCATCTTTGTGCAGGACGCCTTCACTTAGGTCCTGGGCTGACTTAGCCTTTGTTGCCTGGTCATTTAATTGGGTCTGAGTTTGTATATCCAACCCTTCAGCCTCTTTTTGGACTTTGATGGTGCAGTCTGAGTCTTCTGTAATTCTGGAATGATTACTTCTTTGTGCACCTTTTGAGAATTTTATGCAGGGAATCTTAATTCTGGATTTTACCTTTTTCTTAGGAAGATCAGCATCCTCATCCTTTATTTCAGGTTGCACTTCAGCCTTAAATGACTTTTGCTGCTTTGAAGAATCTGACCTTTTCCTGTGTGTTACTAGACGTTTGATTGAGGCCCAGGTGCCCCCTGGGTGCTGTGGCTGATCAGAAGCTCTTGCTTCTACTGGACACTCCCTTGCCACATTGGCAGCCTCAGAGACAGCTTTGGGCTTCACTGCCTTGACTGCTTTCTTTCTTCTCTTGAAGCAAAGCACGGATGTTTTTTCCTCATGTCTTTCATTCTGAGGACTGACTTCTGCTAATTTCATTTCATCCTTATTTTCTACTTGAATTTCAGAAACTGTGGTCTCCATATTTATACCACACTCTTTCATTCTCTAGAAAACTATATTATTTCTTCCTTAGGCAGCCTTTTAGGGCAAACCGGTGGATAAAAATATTCACACTGAGTAAAATCTCTCCCAGGTATATTCATTCCTTTCATCCTACTTATACGGTTGTTTTAGGGCTTTCTCTACTATACAGATGCCTCATTTCTCTATTGGTTGCAATTTCTTCATGAAAGGTCTTCTATTTCAAGACCAACCTGATGAGAATAAAAAAAATGGTATTTTATTTGACCATGAGAATATTATTTTCTGTGAACATTATTTCAGTTGAATGTAGATTCTACTGGGCATGTTTTCCATATAGTAACTTCCTAAATGACTAAAGAGTAGAAATTGGGGTCTACTTTTACCCTATCAAAAATATTTTGATATGAATATATATTTTCTTTTTGTGAAAATTTCATTTTGGATTACTCTGCAAGTCTGATATTGTCAATTCTTTAGTTGGGCTTGTCTTCATGAATTATTAATGACCGTAAATTGTAAGTTTAGCAAACAACAACTACAAACAACAAAAAACAGTGAAGGGCAGGATGACAAATAATCTAATATAAAGAATTTTGAAGCTGCAAAGGACATCAGAGATTACTTGAGGTCATTCAAGTCTAGCCAGATGACAAAATTGAGCTCCAGAGGGGGCACTTGGCTTATAGAAAGCTAAACAGGCAGATAAGGTCATAGCCATAGTTAGAAGATTTTGACTCTAGAGTTCTTTCCATAGTACCATAAGGTTTCTGTTCTAAAAATGTATGTTCTATCAAGAAGGTTCTAGTTTTCATACATACTCTTAGGAAAATTTAACATCACTGTCAATCTCCACTCTCAAATTAGTTCTATAACTTTGGTGTTTCACTTAAGTGTTTGCTGTTCATACTTTTTCCACTGTGGTATGCACATAGTTGGAGGTTGGTACAAGTTAATGATAATAGCTGACATATGTTCAGCAACTCTTGTGTATTAGTCCATGCTGAGCACTTTTACATACATCTCTAACCTGAACCAGGATATTACCAAATGAGTGGGTGGTAGTATCTCTGTCTACAGATGAAACAGCTTTCCTAAGATTACAAAGTTAGGTAACAGGCTCACATTCAGCCCAGCACTGCCTGTTTCTAAAACCTATGCTCTGAAACTGGGCTTTAAGAGTTTCATCAGAAAACAATTTTTTTTTCTTATCTGCAATAAATCCATTAGTCAAATTTTAAAAAATTGTTTAATGGTCATTTAATTAACCATAATGCAGCCCATCAACTCATAATTGAACCTAGACTGAGTTCTTACTATTTTAAAACCAAGCTTTTGAAAGTCTTTTTATTTTTTGGTTCTGGAACCAATTTAAAAGCCAAATATAAATTGATAAGCCATGCAATTGGCAAATTGATAGGCTAAACAAAAATATGAAGGAGTATTTAAAATTAATCCACAGAGTAGTATGATAGCATCAAAGAATGCAGATATGAGGTGATTACCTAACAAAAAATCCTATAAATTTTAGTTGGTATCCTAAAATAGGCAAGTGAATTCTTTTCTCATAACTGTTTTTTATGTAAATCCTAAATGAAGTTTCATTTGGGTAGCCCTTGGTTTTGTGAACTGGAATTCTGGAAAATCAGTTTATGATCTAAGGAAATATATTTTTAGGTTCAGTATGGCATACTTCATGCTTCTAAGACAAAGTCATTCTAGAACGATGGCAGAAAATATGAACATTTTACAGTATCTTTTCAGCACCAGAACCTCAGCTGATTGTAACTCAAGTCTTCTCATCTCTTGTGCATTTTCAGAGCTTAAGCATTTTTAGTAAGCAGAGGATGTATTACTAATAGAAATATTGAAAATAGATTATTTTAAAGAATGTATCATTAGAAACTAACCTGAATTGCCCTAAGACAACTGCTTGTAAAGCTCACTTGAATGTATATCATGCTGTAGAAACAAACACCCAAACAGAAGCCTAACAGAAATGGTGGTGGGGGAGGGCGGGAGGCAGTCTGTAGACATTAAAACTTAGAAGAATGTTAGATTGCTAATGACTCGTCCTTAACCTGCAAGGGTAGCTTCACTGACTCAGGAAACCTTAAAGCCCCCGTTGTTCACCGAATCTTATGTCTAATGCCACAGAAAAACCACCTCCCCTCTATCCCTTGCAGCAAAGAGCAACCACTACCTGAGGAAAGGAAAGCAAAGCATCTTTCCCGAGCACCAGATATGGACCACGAAGCTTCCTTCTGGAGGAAGGAATCTCTCTGGCTTGATACCCTTTATGGCAGGATATGGAGCGCGCAGGATAAAGTACTCAAAAAGGAAAATGTCGGGGGCGTGGAACAGATAACCAAGCTTCAAGCTATCTGTAAAATTATAATGGTCAGGAATCTCAAGTCACATTTTCCAAAACAGGGTAAAGGAGAGGGAAAAAATACCGTAACCCATGCTTCTGGTACTAGCGGTAAAGCCAAGTGAGTAGGTGGGAGACGCCTGCGGACTAATGACCTTCTAGGTTCTCACTCCTGGCCATCTCGGAGGACCCGGATCCCCCTTGTAGTGGGGGCACCTCCCACCCACTCTGCCGCGCAGGAGGTGAGCGGACCTGACACTTCTCCGACCCACCGCCTCCGCAGCCTTCTAACCTGCCTTCACTTACCGTTAGCGCTGGCGTGAACTCCACTGCTGAGGTCGGCAATCTTACGCAGCACTGCGCCCAGACAGCCTGGGAGCCACCTCGCACCCTGAGCAAACAGCCCTCTGCAGAGGGACTGCAGCCAGGCTGCGCCCCTTCCCCAGCAGCTTGGAGATTGACAGCCGGCCTCACCAATGCGCGAGGAGCGGCGGGGCGGGGCCGGAGGCGAGGCGGGGCAACCCTAGGGGCGGGGGCACTGGGAATGGGGGATCCACCTGTGAATAGTTTGCAGCCCGCTGGAGAGCTCCCTTCTGGATCACAGCCGGGGATGCGAATTCTCCCTGCAGTCTCAAATCAGGGCAAGGGCAGAGGTACCACCGAGAGTGGGAAGATGGGGGAGGTGACCAAAGAAGAGAACCCCGCATTTTTCAAAGTAGCAAAATCCTTTTTTAAATTATAGGCACTCCCATTAAATTACCTCCACGAATATTTAAAGACAAGGCAGACGTCTAATTTTAAAAGCAGGATTCAAACTGCATAGAGTAGTGAAGTGTCAGTTGGAAAGAAAATTACATATAAATCCAAACAAAAAGAACCAAACTTTCCCAGCAGTGGCTTTGAATATAAAGTTGTCATGGTTCTTGCCAAACAGGCTCTCAGACCTGACTCCCAGTAGAAGGAGGTGGAAATGATGATGCATAGCAACATCTAAGCCAACAAGGTGAGAAGGGCACAGATCGCAGTCCCACCACTTCTTTTTTTTTTAATAAATATTTTTAAGTTGTAGTGGACACAATACCTTTATTTAATTTATTTATTTATATGTGGTACTGAGGATCAAACCCAGGGTCTCACATATGCTAGGCAAGCACTCTACCCAGAGCCACAACCTCAGCTCCAAGTCCCACCACTTTTAATAACTTACATATATTTCCTAAAATAAGTTGAAATAGCTTTAAGTTGCTTATGTTACTGTTAATCACATTCATTATGTGATTAACTTTGTCTCTCTTAATTAAGCAGGAGTGGAAGAGAGGACGTTTCTTACTATTCCAGTCTGTCAAAGGGTTCAGGCATTTTCTACCTTCCTGCCTGATGGCCTATGTTATTTTCATGAATTTTCTGAACCTTTACCTAAACATGGTTCTAGTCGTGGTTAAAAGCTGCACAAGTATTTATTTGTAAACACAAAGCATGAATGTAACACCCAATGAAAGCTTAGGATGACTTGCTTTGGGAGCACTCCTGGGAGCTCCAGCTGTGAGGTCCAGCCTCCTCCCTGAACCTTTCCAGCAGAACTTCCAGATGGTGGAAGGAAGAACTCCTGAAAAACAGCAGCACTTCTTTCTTCAATGGGACCATCATCTTGGACAGTGTGTGTGTGTGTGTCCATTTTTTAATGTTTTCCCAGGAACACATTTTACCTTTGTAAGATTTTTTTTAATCCTTTTTTTCCCCCAGGGCTGAGGACCAAACCCAGGGCCTAGCGTGTGCTAGACAAGTGCTCTAAATCCCCAACCCCACTTTGTAAGATCATTCCACCAAGACTTATTAAGTAACAAACTGCACAAAAACAAACTGAAGCTGGGCACAGCAGTCCATGCCTGTAATCCCAGTGGCTCAGGGGACTAAGGCAGAAAGATTGCAAGTTCAAAGCCAGTCTCAGCAACTTAATGAGGCACTTAGCAACTCTGCAAGAACCTGTCTCTAATTGCAATATAAAAAAAGGGCTGGGGATGTGGCTCAATGGTTGAGTACCTCTGGGTTCAATCCCTAGTACCCGCCCCCCCCCCCCGCCCCCGCAAAAAACAAACAAACAAATAATCCAACAAAGCTGAATTGAAGTTGTCAGGATCTTACATTTGCAGATAAGAGCTGTAAAGCAGGAAACCCATAAACATCTATAAGCATCTGAATTAAGAAATTCAGTTTAGCACTGTTTATCCAACAATCATAGGTGTGTGAAAATGGCTTTGATATCTCCTTATGGGCTGCTAACCCCGCTTCTGCCAGTTTTGAAGCTTAAACAAGGCAAAAAAAAAACTGAACTTAGTGGTCCACACCTATAATCCTAGTGACTTGGGAGGTTGAGACTAATCTCAGAAACATACTGAGATCCTGACTCAAAATAAAAATAAAAAGACTGGGGATGTAGTTCAGTGGCAAAGTGCCCTGGGCTCAAACCCCAGTTCTGCACAAATAAATAAATAAGAGCAAAAAGAAATCCATGCCATTTATAAGCAACTGAGGTACTGTTACTCATACTCAAACTCCAAGATTCTTCAAATCTAGTGGACCTGAGAATTTGCAGCAGTTTTAGGCAACAAATAAGGATGGTTTACCTAGATGAGGACAGGGCAGAATAGCTGTCTTAGTAGAGAGCACTGGGGAATGAAGAAAGATTCATGTTGAATGATATAAAGTCCACCTTAATGACTCGTAGATCTTATTCTACTTGCTTAAAAAAAAAAAAAAAGTAAAAGGGAGCTGAAAAGCAGTTTGAGGTCAGAGGTAAATTTATCTTGTATTTGAAGGACAAATTAAGAGATTTCTTTGAGGTACATTACAAATAACTTGTCCCTGACTTCTACCACACATAGTCATTCACACTGAGTATAGTACTATAAATAAAATACTGCACTGTGGTTTTTCTTTAGGATTTGACTAGAACCCGATGCCAGATCTATTTTTAAAAAATGTATCCAGTACCTCATACATGAAAGAAACCTGTCATCCCTGAATGCACTTAAGTGACAGTTAAGACTGTTGAAATTATTACCCATATCATTGTCTACTACTCTATTAGCAGCTTTGCATTATGTAATAGGAAATGGGCTATAAATGTCTCTCCAATTTGATGACAAATTACCCTACTTACAGTTTATCATGTAATATCACCAGATACAGTGTGACAATAAAATAGTTTACACATTTATCTGAATCATACCATCATACCATTTCTCCAACTCTGGTCACTACCCACCCACAGTCCAGGCCTGAGCTGTGGAAGTGGGTAAGCCCTTCAAGAGTCTTAACATTTCAGAGATCTTCTGAGAAGTCCTTCAGCCCCTTTCCCTAGCACACCATGAAGTGAAACTGTGGTTCCAATTTGCTGATGGTTGATCTGCCTGGGGGCAGCATGAAAGTTGCAGAGAGCCACCAGAAACCCAACAGCAGTTCTTCTGGAATCTTCTTTAATTGGCAGCACATAAATGTTGCTGACTTTCTTGAATTAAGTGTCTATACATTTTCAACTCACAGCAGCAGCCTAGCAGTAAGATGACTAATATGGGGAAGGAACACAGTCACAGCCCAGAGAACAGTAAGACCAGACACTGGGAAGCAGTGATCAAAAGTAATTCCCAACCCTAAGGTGAAAACACTGGGCCTTCTCTGGTGACACACATAAGCACTCCACGCACCAATGCTTCTATGGTCTTTAATACAAGTCTTCACTTGACCTGCTGTTATTTGGCTGCTTGTGCCTTCTTTCATTGTGGAAACAGCATCTGTAAGCTGGTACGTGTGACACATCTTCTTTATCAAAAACTGAAAAAGCAATTCCACAAAACCCATGCCATCAGGACTGCTCAGCAGCCTTCTAACCTCTATTTCCTCTCTTAGCTTCTTCTACCCTTATCATTCCTTCCTTCTGGAGGGATATGAAAAGGGCACAGCTTACCACCTCTCACAACCTGGCAGGAGTTGCCTTCTAGATAGAGCTTGGAGAGACAGACTGATGGTAGAGAAAATCTGGAAACAAAACAACTTACAAGTTCATGGTGCAGGCCCTGGCAGTGCAATCTTGCAGTTTGCCTTTCTGTAAAATGGGGATACAAACTTAATTTAGAGATCTATTCTTTTTTTTTTTTTTTTTTTTTAAAGAGAGAGTGAGAGAGGGAGGGAGAGAGAGAGAGAATTTTAATCTTTTTTTTTAGTTTTCGGCAGACACAACATCTTTGTTTGTATGTGGTGCTGAGGATCGAACCCGGGCCGCACGCATGCCAGGCGAGCGCGCTACCGCTTAAGCCACATCCCCAGCCCGAGATCTATTCTATTATAGTTAATATTTACACATTTTTAAGCAAAGGTTAGCTCTTACTTTGCGATGACAGGTCTCTCACAAGAAAAGTTAGAATATTCTAGGAAAAATGAAATTCTATAGAAAAGCCCAGGCATTTAGTAGCAACTCAATAAACAACTGCTGAACCAGCAAGAGTAAAAAGGGTTAACCTATGTCTAGTGCTATGACTATCCTTCCTAAGGACTTAATGGTGCTAATGCTATGATAGAAATGGGAATTCCAAGGAAACTCAGGGCGAAAACCTATATACGCAATACTTCCCTGGGATGGGGGTGGGAAATGAACAATAATAGAAAGGTATTAGATAAAAAGGCAAATCTTCCTCCATACCCTACTTCCACTCTGACCTTCTTAGGTCTCCTGAATCATGTGTCCTTGCAGAGATACACAAGCATGCACATATTCCCCGCTTTAAACACAACTGATCACAAAGTACATACTGCAATTTGCTTCTTCAGCCCCAAGGGGCTGCCCAACAGATGGGTTCAGATAGGATGGCAGTGATACTGCAGCACAGTCTATCAGTGCTATGATTTACATTTTAACACCAAGATAGCAAAATTATTTTCTTTTTATTCTGTAGAACTTCATTAAAGTAAATAGGTACATGAGCTATGTTAATTTGTACATAATCATGAGAATTAAGGCTGAAAAAAAGGCTTGTAGGCAAACTCCCATTATTCATTTCAGAAGACCCTCCAGGCAGCGGTTGACTTCTCTCAACTTCCCACCACAGTGGGCCAAACTTTCAAAGTGGCTTCTTGGAGAAGGATGATCTAGAAAGAAAAACAAATAAATGTTTTCTCTTTGCACCAAAATGTTTCTTCTTTCCTTCCACACTGCATTATTCCCCACTCATATTGCTAAAGCTGTTGACATTTATATGCTCTCCCACCAATAGTCTTCTAGGGTCTGCCCATAATAGGTTGGAGAATAATGCATGGCATTTACATGAAGGTTATGTTAATACTGCTCAGGAACACACCAAGCAGTAAGCCAGGACCGCATTTCCAGTAGTTCACATGCCCTCTCAAAGAACACAGTTTCCCTGGCATTGAGCTCAAAGTCTCTCTTCTTA